CGAACGTGGCCTGGGGTGGGCGGCCCGCGGCTGGGCCGTAGCCGGCGGCGCCCGGCCGTTGACGCCCCGGACCCCCGCCAGGCCCGGGTCGCCCCGATTGTCGGGGAGCGAAGCCGAGAAAGAACTAGCGTGGAGGGGAAAAACCTAGGCGGAATCAGGGACTCCTGCTTCGGGTTTAATGAAAGAACTGAATTAACTTTTTTCTTTTTTTTGTATCAGGGCTCGAACTCAGGACCTTGTGCTCGCCGGGCAAGCGTTTTTTCCACTGAGGTATCTCCCTGCCCCAATGTTCACCTGATTTGACTGCTGAATTCAGTATTGAGTTCTGCAGTCGTAAGCCCTGATTTTCCTAGGTTTGTTTGGCAAAAGCAACCCTGTCACCCCCAGTGGTTCAGCCGCACTGTTCTCTTTGCTTAGTGAAGGGAAGGGGAGCTTTAAAGCCCCTAAAAATATTTGTACCACAAGAAAATAAGTTCAGACAGCCCATACCATCGTAATTGCCAAGTGTGTGTTGGGTATTAATGCAAAAGAGGATTAATAAGGAGCTTCGAAAAGACTTCTTAAAGTGTGGTCCTGGCAGACACAAGGCCTCAGGCAGCTGTCACAGAGCACCCACCCTGGAGATGCACTCTGCCACTCCAGACTCTGCCTTGTGTGCTGTCTGTCACATCGCAGCCCTTTTTATGTTTTGAGACAAAGTCTCGATGATGGCTTGTACTGGCTGCCTTAAAAAACTAGCGATCCTCCTGTGGCCTCAGCGCCCTGCAGAACTGGGTTTGCAGGTGTCCTACAGTGCTTGGCTCTAAAAGCTGTTTTGTTTTTAAATCAAGGTAATAAATAAACAAGACTTTAAAGCCAAGTGGTAAAGAAAGCTTATATGCAAATAAATTTTTCTTACCCTTTCCCATTGCCTACCTCTATCCCTTGAAGCAACATTTAACCAATAATAATAACAAATGGTATAATCTCTTAATGCCTGCCTACCTCCACTTAATAGAATTTGTATTTTTTCTTTCTGTGTATTGCTTCACCTTCCTATTTACAGTGTGTTAGCACTTCATTATAAAGTCAAGGTTATTGTAATATATAAATGTTATGAAACTAGCTTGGGATTTTTTTCATGAATAATTTCTAGCTAATGTTTCTTAGCTGAATTTAATTTAAGCATCTGTTTTTGGTAAAGTGGTTAGAATTCTGAATACTGTATTTGTGGGTCAATGTCAAGAGTAATTATGACTTCACTACTGGGCATGAGGAGTTTAGAAAGAGCAGTGAAAATTATGAAATTATGAATGCTTCTTTGGATGTTATATTTGTTGCACCAAGTATAAATTCTGTGATCTGCCTAGAAATCAGAGGTCTAATTTCGTTTTGTGCCGTTCTGGTTCATAAATTGGCTTACTAAAAGTTCTCATTTAGCTGGGGAGATGGCTCAGTAGAATAAGCGCTTACCCGGCAAGTGCAAGGGCCTGAGTTTAATCCCCAGTTCCGCAAATAAATAAATAAATAAATAAATACAATAAAATGTTTAATTTAGCTCAAATGATATTTCTTCATAGTATGTGAGAGAAAAAGGTAATGCTGTGTAACCCGGAAGCTTTGATAGTGTGTGTGGCTTTTCTTTCCCATAGGCAGTTATTTCCAGAGAAGGAAAGCCGTTGCTGGCATTCTCACCACCGTCCTACCTGCCATGATCAAGTGCTTGTCAGTGGAAGTAAAAGCCAGATTGCGTTCTGGTTTGGCCATAAGCTCCTTGGGCCAGTGTGTTGAGGAACTTGCCCTCAACAGTATTGATGCTGAAGCAAAATGTGTGGCCATCAGGGTGAATATGGAAACCTTCCAAGTTCAAGTGATAGACAATGGATTTGGGATGGGGCGTGATGATGTGGACAGGGTGGGAAATCGTTACTTCACTAGTAAATGTCACTTGCTGCAGGACTTGGAGAACCCAAGATTCTATGGTTTCCGAGGGGAGGCATTGGCAAGTATAGCCAACATGGCCAGTGCTGTGGAAATTTCATCCAAGAAAAACGGGACCATGAAAACATTTGTGAAACTGTTTCAGAATGGAAAAGCCCTGAAAGCTTGTGAAGCTGACTTGACTAGACCAAGCACAGGGACCACAGTAACAGTATATAATCTGTTTCACCAGTTGCCCGTGAGGAGAAAACGCCTGGATCCCAGACTGGAGTTTGAGAAGGTTAGGCAGAGGGTAGAAGCTCTCTCACTCATGCACCCTTCCATTTCTTTCTCTTTGAGAAATGATGTTTCTGGGTCTATGGTTCTTCAGCTCCCAAAGACCAAAGACATATGTTCCCGATTTTGTCAGATTTATGGATTGGGCAAGTCCCAAAAGTTAAAAGAAATACATTTTAAATATAAGGAGTTTGAGCTTAGTGGATATATCAGCTCCGAAGCACACTATAATAAGAATATGCAGTTTTTGTTTGTGAACAGAAGACTAGTTTTAAGGACAAAGTTGCATAAACTCATTGACTTTTTATTAAGAAAAGAAAGTATTATATGCAAGCCAAAGAATGGCTCTGCCAGTAGGCAGATGAATTCAAGTCCCCGGCATCGGTCTACTCCAGAACTCCATGGAATCTATATAATCAACGTGCAGTGCCAATCCTGTGAGTATGATGTGTGCATGGAGCCAGCAAAAACCCTGATTGAGTTTCAGAACTGGGATACTCTCCTAATTTGTATCCAGGAAGGAGTGAAAATGTTTTTAAAGCAAGAAAATTTATTTGTGGAATTATCAGGTGAAGACATTAAGGAATTCACTGACGATAGTGATTTCAGTTTATTTGGAACTACTCTTCAGAAGCATCTGTCCTCTGATGAGAGGCACAACCCAGGTAGCTTCCAGGAAGCATGTAGTAATATGTTAGATTCCTGTGAAATGTTTAATTTTCAATCAAAAGCTGTAAAGAGAAAAGCTGTAGAAGACATAAACACACAGAATTCTGAGGATTCACAAACTATCAGAAAAAAGACAGATGACTCACCTTTGTCTGCTTGTGAATCAGATGGTCTGGACTGTAGTAAAATGACAGAATTATCTTTATACAACACAGACAGCTTTTCCTTAGAATCAAGGATGTTAGAACAAGAGACAGGCAAAACATCAGACTTAAGAGAAAATGAGAAACATACAGAGTCTTGCTTGGCACACAACTCTTTAGAAAGTCCATGTGGAAAGAATTCAGAAATGTTTTTAAACCTTTGCCAGACACAACATTACATTGAGAGAGGATCAGATTTAGAAATACAGAAAGTAAGTACTACTGTTAATAGCATGGCTGCCAATATCCTGAAAAATAACAGAACTCAAGATCAACTAGAGAGATTTAAAGGTGCTACTGAAATGGGAAGTCAGCCTCTGCCTTTTGGTGGGACATCATTGAGAGTTCACAGTGCTCAGAGAGAAGAAGAGAAGAGAATAAAAGAGCCTAGTAATTGTGGAAGAGTAAATATTTTTAGTTATAGAGAAGTTAAGCTATGTTCCACTGGCTTTATAACTCATGTTGTACAAAATGAGCAAATTAAATCAACTGAAGCAGAATACTCCTTTAAAAACTATGTCCGACCTGGTCCTACAAATGCCCAAGAAATATTTGGAAACAGAATAGATCATTCAGTTGAGACTCCAGACATCAAAGACTTAACTAGAACCTTAAGTAAAGAATATGCTCACCTGCCCAACAAAAAGTTTTGCAGAACAAACACAAATTATGGGCTAGCAAACAAACAGATAACAACTAACAAAAATTTTTCAGTTTTTCAGCAAAGTGCTGAAGAAGCACATACAGGTAGCTTATCACCTGATACATCCTCATCTTTACCTTGGCATAAATATGTTTCAAAGAATAGTAAGAAAATAGATAAATTGATTGCTTCCTCCAAACCCGTAGTCTGTAAAAAGCTAAGCTTGAGTTCACAACTTGGATCTTTAGAGAGGTTTAAGAGACTGTATGGGAAGGTTAAAAACCCTCTGGCTGCAGAAGTGAAGGAAAGTAACAGTGAAGTCGCTCTTGGTGTCAGCCCACATGATGAACCTGACATGGCACTGACAGACAAGAACCCTGTAGTCAATGCTGGCATTTGTAAAAGTGCTACTATGCAGCATAGTGATTCAAATAGTGGTTGTCAACCAGTAAGTCACATCCTATACTCAGAGAAACTTCCACTGTCCAAGGAAGAAGACTGTTTGGAACAACAGACGCCTTGTTTGAGAGAAAGTCTGACAGAATTACTTCACTCTAACAGAGAACTCTCAGAGGTTGAGAAGTCACCTGAATCACTGGCCTCTAAACTGTCCAGACTGAAGGGTTCTGAAAAAGAGATTCACATAGTAAAAACGATAAGTCATTTTAGTGAATTTCCAAGTTCAGATCCCAGTAAGAAAGACAGTGACTTATGCAGCAGTTTAGGCCTAGATTTTTGTCAGGGTGAAAAAATAGAGGGTGGCACCCTCCCAGTGTCAGATTCCATCATACAGGATAATTCCTTTGATCATGACAGTGAAACACATTCTAACAGCAATGCGACAGAGAACCTGGTGATATCTGAAGCTCCTCTGGTTAAAGATGCAGATGTTTTTATTACAGCCTCAGAGCAGCAGAGAGAAAGTCCTGGTAGGAGGTTTCTAAGTCACGAAGAAAATACCACAGTTGACCAAAATGGAGTTTATACTCCCAGTGAAGATTCTGAGACGAGAGCTTGTTCTGAAAAGGAAGAGTCAAACACCTGCTCCTCCAGCTGGCAGCAGCATTTTGATGTAGCCCTGGGAAGAATGGTTTATATCAACAAAATAACTGGACTTAGCACCTTCGTTGCTCCTACAGAGGATGTTCAGACTGCTTGTACTAAAGATCTGACTACTGTGGCTGTGGATGTCATACTTGGGAATGGTAAGTACTGTGTCATGGTCACTGGTGGGAAATGCTTTTGAAGATGGGCAGAATGGCCAAGAAGTAAGGTCATTGTTGTTCAGAGAGGTGATCTCAGCAGGCAGAACATTTGAAGACTGATTTCGAAACTTTTTTTTTTTTTAAACATTTATTTATTTATTGTGTGTGTGTGTGTGGCCAGCTCAGCCCACCTGGGGGCGGGGCAGGCTGGCATGTGGTGCTGGGGGATTGAACCGCGGTCCCTGTGCTTTGCTAAGCTTGTTCCAAGTAGGTGCTTTAGACCACTGAGCCATCTTACCAGCCCACGAAACTTTTTTTTATGGTGTACAAAGATATTTTTAGGTCCAGCACTAATTGGGTATGAAAATACAGTGAAAGACTGATAAAATGTTAAGCATATGTATGTATTTCCTTGGGTACATAATCAAGGGGTGATCAAAATATACAAGGGGTTGTTCGAATTTTATGGTAAAAGATACATTGCCATCAAGCCCTCTCAACCTTTCCCCTTCATGCACAGTTATCATTTGTGCTTGCCACTTTCTGAAGCAGTTCTCGAGTCTTCTTTTGCGAGTGTTTTTATTAGGTGTGGGTTAAAAAATGGAGAACACTGCTGCCAAGTGCCATCCAGTGGAAAGACTTACAAAAACGTTGCGTCCCTATTCAGCGGATCTGGCACTATGCATCCTCTGACATCTCCCTGGATCAAAACGATGATGGGAAGTAAATGTTTTCATATCAGTTCAGGACATGAAGGCAACAGTACTCACTAAAGAGGACTTTCAGGACTGCTCAGAAAGTCTCAAGAGTGATGGGATAACTATATAAAGTGAGAAAGATTAATGATAATGTGTCTATTTCTAAAAACTTAAAACATTCACTATTTTTTTCACTTTAGAGTTTTTAATTAAATCTGTATATAAGAGGGCTTCATCCCTGCCTTTTCTCAGTTCTTCCTTCTACTTGCACTTTTCTTCTGCTTGGGGAGATTTGGCCCTTCATTCAAGACTCTGCAGTCTGTAGCCTGTTTTCGCCTGGCAGTGAGCACCTTGCTGGGCTGAATGCCCACGTGGATGGCTCTGTCATTTGCCTTTTCCCCCTGCACCCACTCAGTGGAGATGATAAATTCCTTGTAATCTTGGACTGCATTACAACTTCTGCAGCGTCCTTGCCCAACCTGAACCTCATCATCCTTTCAGATGGGCATAGGTTGGGCACTGTATTTGTGTCTCACCTCTGTGGAAGGAGGGGAAAACATAGTCTTCCTGAAGAGCTGGGCAGGCACACTGAAGTGCCTTGTACAGCTCTTGCTTCCATCTGAAGACGCAAGTAGATTGAACTTCATTCTGGCTGCTGCCACTTCACAGTAGCCAAAAAGAAAGGGGTCTGTTTTCACTGTATTTTTAAATCACATCTAAGAAAAAAGAAAGGCAAAGCAGTCCATTTTAGCAAGAGTGTTTTAGCAATGGTGTTTTCTGTAGCTGAGAAGATCCACAGTACTTCCCTTCCCCCTTCTTGCTTCTTCCCAGACACACAGTGCTGTTAGAAATTTGTCTTTTTTTTTTTCCCATAATTTTATTGAGAAAGAAATAGCAGTGAGAGAGTTTCAAATCAAATTGGTAGGACAGTTTCAATAATTATAAGCTGATTCTCACCTTTTTTTTTTTTTTTTTTTTTTGTGGCAGAACCAGGGATTGAGCTCAGGCCCTTGTGCTTGCCAGGCAAGCGTTTATCCTACTGAGCCATCTCCCTGGTCCAGAAATTTGTCTTTAAAGGTGTGAAAGTCTGTTTCTGTGGCTCCTGCACGAGAGGCTAAAGGCTAGGATGATTTGTAAACATCCTAGGCTTTCCAGTAAAATCCATAGCTCAGTACAGTGCTGTTTTATGAATTTTTTTCCCCAGAAAGAAGGACTTGACCGTAAGTTTTTCAAAATAAAGCCTGTGTACTTTTGTAACTATACTTACCAAGTGTACTTATTATTATGCATAGGTAATGCAGTGATGTTTGGGTATAAGAAGACATTATTGGGGGACAGTGTTGTGGCTTTAGATCATAACACAAAGCTGCATTAGAGCCCAGTCTAGGACCCTGGTTCTTTAAGTCTCAGGCAGTATTAAAAAGGACGATGTTTTGGCAGCATATTGGGGGCCAAGTGTTGGGAGATGGTAAAGGTGATTCCCATCTGGCTGTAATGCTGGCTTTGCACTCAGGACAACATTAAGTCTGCATTCTTGTTAGAAGTCTTGAATGATGCGAAAGAATGTCAGTGGTATAAATGTAATTTGAAATCAACATGTAATTTCTTCTTAAAATGAATATCTTTTAAAAAAATGAGTATATACTGAGAAGCTCTGGCTTACTTAGTTAAATAAGACCTAAATAAAGGGTGCTTTACTGGAAATGACTTACTTTTCAGTGTTTTTCACTTTTTCCTTGTGAAAAAATAAAATCTGTTGTAACTTTCAAAGTATTCAAAGCAAGAGGAGGAAACCCTTTTCTTTCAATATTGCTCCTGAGGGGGCCAGGGAGGTGGCTCAGTAGAATAAGCGCTTGCCTGGCAAGCACAAGGGCCTGAGTTCAACCCCTGGTTCCGCAAAAAAAAAAAAAAAAAATTGCTCCTGAGACTATCAGGTTACTCTTGAGACAACATGGTGTATTTTCCAATCTGGGTCACTTTGCCGTACCAAGGATTGAACTCAGGCCCTTACGCTTGCTAGGGAAGCACTTATTCCACTGAGCCATCTCCCCAGCCTGGCTCACCTTTTTGTACTGGATTTATACTGAATGCTTCTCAAAGGTCAATCTAAAGTACCAGTGCCTCATCTTAAATGCAACTGCTATAGGGCTGGCCAGATAGCTTAGCGCACTAAAGTACCTGTTAGGGGAGGGGAGCGGTGTTCTATTCCCGGCTGGGGCGTGCTGAGATGGCAATTGAGACTGGGTGTGGTGGCGGGCGCCTGTAATCCCAACTCTTTAGGAAGCTGATCACAGGAGAATCACTACGAGTGAGACCCCGTAGACCCTATAGACTGACCTAAATTCATTAAAAAAAAAAAAAAAAAAA